TCTTCGCAGGAGAGCTGTTCCATCCCTCTGACCATTTTTGTGGCCTCTCTGAGCCTTCTTAGGAAGGCTTCATTCACCAGTTCCCTACAAGCTGCTTCCAGTGCTGTCTCTGGTCTTTCTCAAGGTACCAGCAGACAGGATGAGAGTGGCGCAAGGAGAGATCCTACCGGAAAGGAATCTTGTGGTTTGTGTTACGTTGTTGTTTTGTTATGCTCGTTTCCCCAAATCTGTCTACTGAGGAAACAAGGAAACCTGACACAGAGACAGAAGAGAATGAAGCTAGCTGGGAGTCTCCAACTCTTTGATACTCAAGTGCACTGCATCTGCTGCTCACAGAGCAACTACTTCATAAAGTCCCCCTGTAAAAACTAGATCTCAAGAAGCCAAAGATACAAAAGGCCCTCCCATAGGCCTTGCCTGTCCTTACAGCAGTAGAAGGAGGATGGCATGTCCTTTCAAATCCAGGCATCATTGCTGTGACAGGCATCCCACTGGGATACAAGCTACTCATGTCCCAAGACCCAGTCTATCCTTCCTCACTCACCTGGCTACTCATCCCAGGACTACCTGGGTTCATTTTCTGCCCTACAGAACAGGGTTGCAGTTAGAACAGTCAATTTAAAAAACAACCATGAAAGCTACCACCCATAAAGAATCACGTGGGGAAAAGTAAAGAGGAGGCTAACCCAAATTCCCTCACTTACCTTTCGGCACTGAACTGAAGTAACTAACTGAAGAGCTCAGGCTTCTTCATAAGTGCACAGAAAAAGCAACATTTCGAGAGGGTGATTCTAAGCATAGGCAGAGTCACCTCTAGGAGTTCATCTCCTCCTTCCACTCACTCCTGAAGGAACTCAAATTCTTAGGTCTTGCTATTTTAGATAAGCACCAAAAGCTAGGTGGGATGAAATGGGCTGATCCTTACGACATACATCCCTTGAAGTCACTGGCATTTGTGGAAAAGCACTTAAGGGACTATAAATTATCCTGTAAAAACCATCTGACAATAAGGAGCACTGCTAAGAGGTGAAGCGGTTAGAAGGTCCCCAGGGCACAGAACTATGGGAGGTTTAATAACAGACACGAGGATACCCGCTGGCACCCCCACGCTCTCCCATGTATAACAGGATGCAGCACCAGAGAGTCCCTCCTCTTCATGAAGAAAAGCTCTCTCCTACCCACCCACCCATTTTAGGGAAAAATCAAAAGGGAGAGCAAGCCTCCCTGAAGAGAGAGGATCCCTGAAATTCAGAGGATAAAGGACATGTATGTGGAAAAGAGGAAGCCCAGCTCCCACATATTAAGAGACAAACATATCTCGCTCTCTCAATCTCTCTCTCTCTCTCTCTCTCTCTGTAGCGCTCCTGCCAGCAGGACACAGAGGCCCAAAGCGTTGCTGTATTTCTTACTCCCAGTCCTGGGTGCTGGTGAAGACTCGGATAGTATTGCCATTAAAGTCCTGCAGGGTGGTAGAGCCGGCAACTGACGAAGTGTACAGCTGACTAGGGTTAAAAGGGTTAAACTTCATTGCTGTGATGGACCCTCCAGCTCCCATCTACAAGGAAGGGGATGAACAAAAGAAAAGTCCACTGAGTGATGGAGAAGGAGAAAAGCGCGTTCTGTAAGTCTGCATTCACTGCTATGTCCCTAACAGCAACAGTGTTAACTGTGTGTGTAAACACACCACAGCCCTCCAAGGAGGCAGAGACAACCATGTCTTCCCACAGATCGCTCTCTAGGCAGCTACTCTCTTGGAAGGCAAAACTGCAACCCCTTCCATCCTCGGGCAATGTACTCCCTGGCTGGCTGACACCACACTATTTGTAAAAAGAGAAAGATTACTCTGGAATTTCTGGAGAGTAGACTTCCTCCCAGTGTGTACCTACGTTAATGTAGAAAGGGGCTAAAATTTACAGTCTTTTGAGCCCCTATCGATTTGGGAATGGATGAATACAGCAACAAAGGGGCACGCCAGCTCTATAAAGCGTTCGCTCTGCCTGAATTTCTCTCTCTAGACAAAGGCACTGTGTTTCTCCCCACTCAAAGATGTTTCCTCATCTGATACAGAATAAAAGTTGAACAGAAAAACATCAAGACCTACACCAGACACACCTCCTCTGCCTACTTTAAGCTGTTTTGTCAGCTGCTGTATTATTTTTCTGCTGAGCACAGACCAAGTACTGCTTCATTATAAACTTTATCAATATGCCTCAGCTCTCCCAGCACTAGAACAGTCTGAGACTTAGGAACAGACGTGCTGTTGCACCTCAGTCCTGCCCCACAGCTGGCTGCTCTGCAACCCAAGACTCTCACGCGTTGTGCTTCTCACAACACCTCTCAGTTTAATCCGCAGTACTTGGTGACACTCCAGTTTTCCCACCTACCCACTCCACGCACCCAGAGGCTTACCCCTTTTATGAAGGAGGTTTTAGTAAGTACTTCATAATCCCAAAGAATGATGTCTCCACCTTTGGAACCAACAGCTACAGTGCTGGGGTGTGTTGGATGCCATTCCAGGCATGTCACTCTCCTGTCAAAGGGACTTGCTGTTCGAAAGAGGCGGTAGGAGGCAAGAGAACGCAGAAAGGGCAGCTGCAGACACTATTAAAAAGATAAAGAGAATTATGACGTTTGCAGGGATCCCCGAGATTCTCTGACTGAGGAGTGCTAACAACTTCCAGTTGCCATCACACAAAATTCTATGCCTCTCTGTAGAACAAAGAGAACACGCTGTCCCCAAGGGAAACATCCTGTGACCACACAAATGCACATCAGCCACAGCACTGGAAAAGCAACAGAGAACTGAGAGATACACACTTTAAGTGATGTACAGGGAGCTAAGCCTTGTGGGCTGAGCTAAGGCAGCAGGATAATTAACAAGGGAGAAGAGCATGCGCCCACACTAGCAAAAGGTGCCTATGACTGAGCATCCCATAATGTTATACATCATCCAGAGATACAATGTAATAGTCTTCCATCCAAAGTGCCTGCAGCGCAACTACACAGCATTGGAGTGAACCGAACACCTGAAACAAGGAATGAGAAAACATGACACAACTGTGTTGTTACTCAGCTCAGGAACAGGTGCTGCTTGGATGAGCCTGGCGATTTTTTTATCATTTAGATACTAAAAATAAATAAATCATCTGGAAAACAAAGGTAGCCTGGGTACTTCCCACCTACAAACGTTAAGGAAAAAAAGTTATTTTCAAATGAAAGAAGGAGTATGGCTCTGAAAAACAGTAAGACATTACGGACTTCATGGAATATGTCTGTGGAGAGGAAAAAACAACACTAAACTTGACAAAATTAGCAAAGCAGAGTGGACTCAAAAATAGTACAACAGAACAGTCAGATCCGCGTGTATAAGTAGCAACGTACAATAACTCAACTGGTAGAGTAGTTAAGTTTAAAGATGATTCCAGGAAGCACAGAATTAACAGGATAAAACACAGAGTGATAGGTCCAGGTCAACCGAAAGGGAAAGCCATCTCAGCTCTTGCATTTTACAGGATTAAGAAACATAAGGGTGTGCCAGTCTTGGGGCCACAAACTGTATATGTGGAAAAATTTAAGCCCCTTTAAAGTTGAAAGTGTTTTTATGGAGGGAGCTGGGACGTCCAACAGGTCAAGAAGGGTAAACTCCTCACCTGCCTGAGCTGTGCCCGAATGGAGCCTCCCAGCATGTTCTGGTAGACGTAATGAACAACACTGCACTGCCGGTCCAGCTGCCGGAAGAGGACTTTGTTGTTTCTCACCATGGAGCCACCTCCACTCCAACCTGCCAGAGAGGAAAAGAGCCAATGCCTGCCCTGGTCATTCACTGAACAACACAGGAAGACATCTGCGTTTGCTGCTACATCCATTAAAAACTTCAGCCACAGGAGAAAAGTTTCTAACCGATTCTTACACGTCTAAGGTGCAGCAGCCTCTGCAGTTATGGAGTGCAATGCCTCTCACAGCCTGTCAGAGCTTTGTGTTTGCTTCCTCTGGTTAAACCTTCCTTCTCCTTGCCACAGACTTATCAAGAAGACAACAGGAGAGGACTAAAGCAACGCCACAGGTAGTGCATCTTCTGGACACTACATAGATTGAATGGTCCACATACAAAACACAACAAAGCCACCCAAAGCCGCAACAACTCGGAAACCCGCTGTAAGAGGCGGTAAGCCCCCGACTACAGCAAAGGGGAGGGCAGACGTGTGACCAGTAAAAACATTCACACCTGAAAATTCCCCAAGCATAGCAACACGAGTTTCCACACAGCTCCTGAACTGCCTGGGGGTGAATCAGAATTTTCCATCTGCTTGTGCTCTAGCCTGTACAGTCTGCCTACAGTACCACGAGTTTTGTTTTTGATAACAGACTTGCTGATGCCTCATTGCTTGAAATCCTTTCTATTTTGAGTGATTTTTGCTGAGAGTACAGCATGCTTCTACATTTCGTTCATGTTCCAAGTTTTTATCTTCAGGGAACTTCACATAAAAAAAACCAGATCTACTCAGTCCCATGTCTATGTTCTAACCATCCCCACAGCAATGTTCTGTAACACCCTGGGGGATTTAGACATCGCATGCATTTCTTAAGAAACAAAAATGTTATTTTCATTTAAGGATATTTATTAAAAAAACAGAACACAAAAACCAGAGATTATTCTACATGCCTAGAACCTCAATGAAATCTTTCTTTAACGCAACACCAGAGCCTAGAAATGCACAGCTGTGAAACTAAACCTCTTTGCTCACATGCCAACATAGTGCCAACACTTGTTACACCTGTTCAAATAGGTATAAAAGTATTTATATTCTAGTTCTTTTTTTCAAAGAAGAATTAGCATCCACAGCTCCTTCTTCAGAGGTGACAGAAATGGAGGGGTTTTTTCCAAACTCTCTTTTATTATGACGGGTAATTTATTAAGAAACAAACTTCAGACCTTTTTAGAATCTGCTGGAAGAAACTCTTTTAAAAACATGGTTTAACTGCAAGTAAGTGAACCTATCCTATACGGCTTAGGAAAAAAATATGTTTTTCTAAAACACAAAAATCAAAACTAGAACACAGAATGGTAAAGCTCAAATACAAAAGTCTTCATTTTTTAAAAAAAGTTTAGGGGAAAAGAAGTACGATTTGCCTCAGTTTTTCCAAAGTACGAGCTAAATCCAGTACCCTCTGAATCTTACAGGAACTGCAGATGCTTACCAAATCTGAAAATCAGGCTTGAAGTTACAATGAAAATCATGTATCTAAATAAACTATAGAAGATGTCTTGACTATCCACAATTATAAGCAAAACTCCTTTCAAAGAGGTTATTTTGCCTCCGCATCCCCTGTTCACACTGCCAACTGCCCCAAGCCTGGAGTTACACACCACACAAGGAAAACGTACAGAGCTGTAGAACTCCTGTATCTCTGACTGTCGAAATACACCACACAAGGAAAATGTACAGAACTGTAGAACTCCTGTATCTCTGACTGTCGAAAAAACCTGGTTCCTTAAAGCCAAAATTCTACAGGAAGTATGTAATATTTCCACATAATGCAGTAACTCTAGTGATCTCCTAAACTAATAATGAAATTAAAGGTTTTATCTGAGAAAAGGAGCCTGAGGGGAGCCCTTATCGGTCTCTACAACTACATAAAAGGAGGCTGTAGTGAGGTGGGTGTTGGTCTCTTCTCCCAAGTAACAAGTGAACAGGATGAGAGGAAACAGCCTCAAATTGCACCTGTGGGGATTTAGACTTGATATGATGAAAAATTTCTTCACCAAAAGGGTTATCAAGCACTGGAACAGGCTGCCCAAGGAAGCAGCCAAGTCACCATCCCTGGAGGTATCAGATGTGCCACAAAGAGACATGGTTTAGCAGTGGACTTTAACCTTTCCAGTATCTTAGAACGTAATCATCTCTCCTCAATATATCAAAAATCTTTACGATTTTTTTTTAAGATACATACTAAAAGAAAAAAAACGCACATGATAAGTGATTAGCTGAATTTCTGTCCAGTCTAATCTGAACATAGAGGTAGAAAGTATTTCTACTTACTGTGGCAAAAGGCAGAATATGCAACAGATCAGGTGGAAATGCCAGTTTAGATGTGCTGCTGTAGTATACCAACCTTATAACTATGTAACTGCATTAAGAATTGCACGGAATCAAAAACAATGTACTACCAAGACAGCTCTCCTACAGTAAAGCAGACATCTGGTAATTCGAGAATTCCAAAAAACTTAAACACACTCAAATGAGCAGTGGCAGCATCTTCAGTGAGCAGGCTTCTACTAAGGGGTACAGAGTCTCAGAAATTAAACATGCATGTGCACCCACAAGCTCACTAGACAGTAACCGGAGGACACACATGTCCCTGTATCACTTCAACATATAACCCCACCTCAACACTTATGTCTGGACACGCTTCTTGGCATTCTCCCTCTTCAACTAGTCCATGCCTGTTATTTAGAGTAAATCCAGTTGGAAGAAACAAGAAGGATCTGAGGAAATCTTACTGTTTTTCTCTGGGAGTTTGGACGTTTTCCTCACAAACAACCTCTTTGCTTGTGGCTCACTCCCAAGTTCCTCACAGTCCAGTTTCCTTTTCCCGATGGATTCTGCCTCTTCTGGCCAACGCTCATGTGCCCTCTCATGCTTCTTGTCCTTGGGCTGGTTCACTGGAGCCATTCTGTCTGACCACTAAAAGCAAAAAGTTAAGACTGTCACACACTTTTAACTGGAAGACAGCAAGGAAAAGTGGAACGAAACATACCCCAGCGGTTTGAAAGTGGTGGTTATACCTGTCATCAGCATGACACTAGGTTTTTGTTATGATCTGCTGGAGAGGGGAGCACATTCAATAAACTCTTCTTTGTTCACATATGAAAATGAATGCATCCTAAAGCATTAGAGTATGTTTTGACAGATGTGCTTCTACCCACAGATCTGCATAAAGCACATCTGTGAAACCACATAACACCCCGTTTCTCCAGCAGCTCACACTGAACTCTTTAGATTCAGCTACAAAACAAAGGTCAGAGCTTTTATCACGATGGTCAGGGCTGACCGGTCATCCACCAAAGATGCTCAGAAGGCACTTCCTACTTTACAGCTAGTTTTCCTCACAACCACCACCTCAGATTTGGACTAGGCTCCTACACCTGATGGCAAACTACCCTCGAACTGCGCCTCCTGCCGTGTCAAGATGACCAAAACTCCACTCGGCGTCCCTCAGCCGTACTCCTCACCGGCGGGCGATGGTCACAGGCCCTTTCCAGACCCCCCCAGGATCCTCCGTGAAGAGCCTCGGACAGGCCGTGCCACATCGAAACTTATTTATAACTCGCCAACGGCTGTCAC